TCTTGTGTGTTTGTAGACTAATTAAAATACATGTGCTGCCCGAGCTCAGTGCACATTAATTCAAAGCAGAAGAATTGCAAAGAATAACTGGGCTCTTAAGGAAAAACTGTTGTCAAAACTATCTGTAGAACCAGAGATATAGGTAGTTCTACCCAAATGCTGTCTCTCCTTCTGAACCTCCTATCTGATCCTTTAAGGTTATTGGCAGCTTTACTGGCCTATTGGGAAGGCTGGAAGGGTTGGGACCAAGCTCCTTAATAGTGAAAAGCCAAGATTTGCATAGGACATAAGCTGTCTATATCTTGATCTACTGATTATTATTATTATTACTACATAGGATTTATATAGCGCCAACAGTTTGTGCAGCACTTTACAATATAAGGAAGACATTACACAATACATCACAATTCAAGACCAGATGGTAAGGAGGGCCTTACAATCTAAAAGGGAGGGGAGAGTGATACATGAGGAGGTAGCTGTGTTGGGATGAATTGTTTGAACTGTACTGATGGCTTTAACACTATGGTTAATTTTTGCCGATACATTTTTATCATCAAATCCTGAGCTTGACCTCTCTGGACTGTGACAGGTTTACTCTGAGGGAAGTAAGGGATTGATTCAAATCTGTCTATACTTTTCTATTCTATTCTTTTTTTAATTATTTAACGTATTCAGTTTAAATGTTAAATAAGAACTTGATTATGTGTTATTATTTAAAAGAGCTTCATTGAGCACTCTACACTTAAACCGACCACGGCCCAATTTTAATTTAACAATCACCCCACTAAATCCCAAAGATTTTACACAAGTATGTGCGCAGATAAGATATTCCAGTTGTCTGTTTATGAAAGCCACTCATTTACATAGTCGCAATCCCTCTCTATCTTAATAAACTACAAAATTGTGAATAGATTCCATCAGGGGTCCTCAAACTTTTTAAACAGGGGGCCAGTTCACTGTCCCTCAGACAGTTGGGGGGCCGGACTATAGTTTGAAAAAAATTTTAACGAATTCCAATACCCACTGCACATATCTATTTATAGTGCAAAAAACAATACAGTATTGAAAATGAAGAACAATTGTAATGAACATAAACTTGATAGTATTTCAATGGGAAGTATGGGCCTGCTTTTGACTAATGAGATGGTCAATGTCTGGTTCCATATTTGTCGCTGCTAGTCGTAACAAGTGATGCAAGTGATCATCAGTTAGTCTGGATCTGGTTGGAGATTTCAGAAGTTTCATTCTGGAAAAAGTCTGTTCACGGACATAGGCGCTGCCAAAGATGGTTGTCATTTTGAGTGCCTGGTTCCTGAGATTAAGATATGTCAGAGGGTGCATGGTTCCTGAGATTAAGATATGTCAGAGGGTGCATGGTTCCTGAGATTAAGATATGTCTCAGAGGTGAGAGATGCATAGAAATTAGTAAGGCCACTTGACTTGAATACGTCTTTCAGAAAATCGCAATTCTGTAGTTCGGCCAATTCCATTTGGTAAATTGGATCTACAGTTTCAATGTCAACAGAAAATGGGTTCCTGAAAAGCTGTATGTCCTGTTCATGGAGTTGAAGCTCTTTAAATCTAATTTGAAACTCCCTTTGCAACATTTGCAGTGAATCCACACATGTTTTGTTTGGGAATGCAACTGCTGGTTTCTCCGCCAACAGGCTTTGCGTTGTGGGGAGATGGCAGAAGTTTTCTTCCTTCACTTGTTTAATGAGAGGATGAGCCCCCCACCAAGTCACAGCATAATGAGGCCTTGACCAGAACTTTGAGAGAGAGAACCTGTGCCAGCCTAGCCAGATCCCAGCTGAGTAAAGTGAGCACATGTACTGCACAGTGGTGCACATAAGCAACTAAAGACCCTTATACAATATTTTTTTCTTTGGCTCCCCCCCTGACCTCTCACCTCCAATGCATTTCCAAAGCACCTGCACAGACAAACTTGTGAAGAAGAATGTTTATTACCTTTCTGGTCAATATCTAGTGGGGATTCACAGGCTGTGCAAAACTCCCGCCTGCAGTCTCCTCCGCGGCTCCACACTGCTAACACAGCTCCCTGCTGACTCCTCCCTCTTCTCCTGTGCACAGCAGCAGAGGATGTCAGATGCCGGCCGCTGCGCAGGTTATCAGAGCTCTTTGACAGAGGGGGAGGAGGAGGGAGGGGATGGCTGTAAATCAGATATAGTCCCGTGGATAGGAGCGAGGGATGTGGTCACTGGTGCATCCGGCCCGGGGGCCGTAGTTTGAGGATCCCTGGGTTATATTATAATTGTAACTAACTTTATCATTGGAAACAAGAAAAAAAAAAAGCATTGTTTAGACTGGAGTTCCTCCTTCTAGTTTTAGCAAACATAAATAGGCATCATCGTTTTTAAAAGGGTTAAATACATTATTTTTATAATGTCTTCTTGCTAACAGGCTTCAGTTACCTATGTAGAGCTGATTAAAGTATATCTTAAGCTAAACCTTTTTTGAATTTTGGGTAGATTAGGCATTGGTTAGAATCTGTTTTTTTATTGTTTGGTTTTTAGCAATTTGTATCCTGGAGTGGGGAGATTTCTTTTCACTTCTTGTCCTGGAGACACTAAAGGAAGTAATAGAAAATCTAAGTGAGGGAAAAGCCTCCGACCACTTTCAATGGATTTGCTTCTTAGTTGTCACTCACCATTTGCTTCAGTAACAACCTTAAAATGTTTACTGTCATTACATTCTTGATATTCAGGTTAGGCATTTGGTGCATTTGAGACGATATTGGCTGTATGATCGCATGATATACGAACCTTTGTTCCAAAACACCCTGACATTTTTTTAAATGTATGCAAAATAAATATTTTTTTTAAATCCTTGTGTAAGTCAATGAGCATTTCTCTCTTTTGTGAGTTTACTTATACGTACCCTTGCAGCGGTTCACAGGAGTTGGATCATTCAATGTTATTGAACTGAATTATGGGAGCAGTTTGTGCATGGCTTAGACCTATTCTAGTGAGATATGATGAGGAAGGGGTGGGGTGTGTGTGAAGGGATTGAACCACTGTCAAGTTTTTATTTCTAGTCTATATACTCACCAAATGATTTGATTCCTGGCAGGGCAGAAAGGTATGGGAAATCCCTTCAGTTGAGGAATAGGCTGTAATAAAACACTTTTATCTGAGTTTATTGGGGGTTATAGCTGCTTTTAGCAACCAGTTTATACTAAGTCATAGAGAAACTGTTAAAGTGCAGCAAAAAATGCAACTTGCTTGGTAAAAACTAATCAAATACGTCAATGTGATGGGTTTCTGTGGATAGGGGTTTTACCTTGTTCCATTTTGTTCAACTCTGCAAACATGTGCGTGATCACACTCTCCCAGGACCATTGTGGGGGTCTTCATTAAAGATGGTATAGACAAGAAACTGATGCATGTGATCTAGAAGTTGCTTAAAGTGAAACTAAACTCAAGAGTTAAATCGTAAAAATGCATTCAAGTACCTTAACTGTTAACAAAAATGTATCTTGTTTTGAATACAGAGATGATTGGAGGATCTACAGCCGAGTGATACACAAATAAGATACATTTCTGTTAAGGTACTTGAATGCATTTTTAAGATTTAAAGGAGAACTATGGGGTCAGTGTTTTTCCCCATAGTTCTCCTTAGGATAACGGGAGGACACAAACTAGCGTCCTCCCATTACCCTAAGCTCAGTATACCGCGAGCTACAGCTCGCGGTATACTGAGACGCCGCAGCCGGAGCGGATCCCGACGTAGATGACGGGATCCGCCCAGCTGCGTGAGTGACAGCTGGCTCTGCCTATCTAGAGGCAGAGCCAGCTGTACCCGCCCCCTCCCCCGTCCGTTCCGCCAGTCAGCGCTGGCAGATCGGAGCGGGGAGAGGGGAATCCAGCCCTCCCCCTGTCACGGGCCAGAGCCGTGACAGGATCGAGAGGTGAGCGAACCCGGTATGGGTTCGCTCACCTCCCGATCTACTGAGCCGACCTGTGACAGTCTCATTGTCACAGGTCGGCTAGAACTATGAGGTGAGTGGAAATCACTCATCTCATAGTTCTCCTTTAACTCCTGAGTTTAGTGTCACTTTAAGAGTCTGCTGGGTAACAACATCATTTAATGGAATTTGATGGCAAGGGAATGAAGAGTGCCAATTTTCAGTCATAATTTAATGTACTTAGGAATGGATATAGATAAAGCAATTTAGAACTCTGAAGCAATTTAGAACTCTGAATTCCCAGTACCAGCTCAGTCTCAGCCTGTTCCTCAGGACTAATTTACAAAAGATGACAAGTACTGGAATCCATGGCATATCTTTGCATCATTAGTGCTTACTACTATTGGCTGCCTGTCTCTTCCATGCTATAAAGCACTCCGACTTAAATGTCCCTAATAGCCGCTCACATCTTCCTCCACAGGATGCCTACACCACCCATGGACTGACAAACACCTAATTATATTACAGACCTTTCATAAATGGAAGTGTTTGATCATATACTAGGGTTCCGCTGCAGAGGAATGTTTTGATCAGGCTGTAGACATATGCAGGTTTCTAGATATGCATTGACATCCCTTTTCCTGTGTGTTCTTGTTATGTTGTGTTGTAACCCCCAACAACCACACACATTATCAGATAAGTGAAGATTGCTTAGGTTGGTACTTGTGCTTTGCCCTTCATTATTACATTATTTTTTATGTCTTTTATTTGTTAACAGAAAATTAACATGAAACGGAACAAAACCTGAAAAAAAAATTTGCACTGCTTGTATTGTCTTATCAATGTCTTGATTGCCAAGTGGCCAGATCTTTTCAGAGTATAGAAATGTATTCTCCTCCTGGGAGACGCTGGCACTGGTTAATATGGATGCTTAACAAATGACTAACATTGTAATGCTCGATTGCCCATGCATCCTTCTGACTCTAACGGTCACCCTAGGAAACTGTGTGGGAGAATTTCTGTCCGTTTTCTGATTACGGGTCCTGACTTGTCTTTGTTTAGCAGAACTTACTCTGTAGCCGAGTCCTGGAGCTTCCATTTATCTGTGTGCTCCCATCATACACACATTGCGGAGATGAAAGGTATGATGCTATATAGCAAATTATTATATATCATTTCAAATGTGAGTACTGTATATAGAAAACCTTAGTGATGTGTCTGTCTGCCTGGCCATGTGATCAAAATTCCATTCAAAAATCTTAAAGAAATATATTGTGTGAAAGTTTTTATTGGAAAGAAAAATAATTATAATTTGTGTGTTTCATTTAAATAATTTAAAAAAAAGGGATCGAAAAATGCATCATTTTTTTTAGATCTGATATTATAGCAGGTTTAGCAAAATCAATATGAATGTCTGTAGCTAATCATCTTACATCTCTCTGTCTTGCCTTTACATTTGTAAGTGTATGTGTCATGGTTTCTATAACATTGTGAACCACTTTTGCAGCCTTTTTTGGACTTGTAATGCTCTTGGCAATGGTAAATGACAATGCAGCCACCTGTACTGGATCCGATGCAGACCGAGTATATTACTGCAAGTCTTTTCAGAAAGGTAAGTCTGAATTAAACATTGTGATGCACTGATTGATTTACCGTAGGTAAAACACAGTAACACAGATACCTTCTTCCAGTTTCATTGAATACATCCAATAGTGATGTGTACTTATCTTTTTTTTCTCTGAATCTTTAGTCAAATTATTCTATTGGGGAAAAAATTACCAGAACAAAAACAATTAAATGGCCTTTCCAGTGATTTGTAAAAATTTTGCATCTGAACAATCTGCGCCAAGCAAGCCCTAGCGACTTTGGGATATGCATAGAACATGTAGTGCTACAACTGCTAAAGAGCCAATAGGGTTGATCTACTATAGAAATAGCGTGAATGTTCAGTGAGCCCTTAGGAAATAATGTAAAGCTGTATTTACTTCAATCAACCAATTGTGCAAGGAAAACTGGGTATTTATAGTGAAGTGTGTAATTCAATTTCAAAGTCATTTTTTTCCCCTTGCATTACCAAAGATTACTTTTTATTATATTGCCTGACAAGATATTTCTGCTAGTTAAAGCTGACGTATACTCCTATTTGAAAGAACCATTGACAGTCAGACTTTTGATGGCAGAAGTGACTCTGTATGTCACGTCTGTCATAAATGCTTCTCACTGCCTGTCTTTTTTTATATTTTCACAGGTCGGCTTGAATTATGAAGATGAGTGTTTTTCACTCTCCCCATAATTCTCCTTTAACCCTTACAGTGTGGGGGTAGCCTAACTGCAAGGGTCAATACATTTTTGTAGCTGAATAGTTGCTATGTCAACAATGATTTCAGCTATAGCATAGAAGTGTCCAATAACTCACCACCTGAAGTTCATAAATAGTGTTGCAGCTCCAACTTCCATTTGTCTATCTTAGAAAATGATAGGAACGTTTTTGTGCACCAGACTAAGGGATTAGTCGTTCAGCATTAAGATTTCATCACTATTTCAGCAATAAGATCTCCCTGTTATATATTATTCCCGCTCCTTCTAGTTGCAGTTGAACCCATAATATAACATTTTCCACAATGTGAGGGGAAGGCTGCAGCATTAAGGTATATCTATAGCTAAGACTTTGTTTGAGAGGGAGTTCGGAATGGTTAAAACCCATGTTGTCTTTTTTTTCCTTTCTTATGCACCTATTTATTTAGATTACGTAAGCTCTGCCTAAACCTCAACACCCTGTTTATTACTAACAGATTACAGTGAAGGCACCAAGACCCTTATATTTGAAGAAAGAGAAGTTGGCTTGGTCAATTCTTCAGTGTTTTCCAGTCCAAACTTGAAGTCTGTTGTTACCCTAACGCTCACAGGAAGTAGAATTTACACCATTGAATCAGGAGCCTTTGAGCACTTCTCATCACTTATCACTCTTGAGCTTCAGAATAACAGGCTGACTACTGTATTGCCCTCTTGGTTTCGTGATCCCACAGTCTTGGAGCAGCTCAACTTGGCTGGAAATTTGATTCACCAGTTGGGTCCAGGGATGCTGGAGGAATATTCTGGTTTGAAGGTTCTAAATCTTAGCAGGAATCAAATTAGCAGAATTGAAAGTAAAAGCTTTGCCACCCTGAGTAAACTGTCCTCTCTGGATTTGTCATACAATAAGATTTCATCGCTTGAGCGCAAAGGGTTTTCTTCCTTGAACGCCACTTTGAGATTGCACGGGAATCCATGGAATTGCTCCTGTGGGCAGAAGGATTTAATTCTGTTTTTGCAAGGTAGGTAAATATGTCAAATATAGATAACTTCTGTTTAATCCCAGTATAAGTCAGCTTTGTAAAAAGTCCAATCGGCTATTTCTTTTTCACTTGAGGGACACAGGTTTCAGGGACAATCAGGTTATACTGACACCTACAGGAGGATTTAGACACTGGCAAACAAAAAACAGTGATCAACCTGGTATAACCCCTCCCACTCCCAGCATGCTTCAGGTTTTTTTTTTAGCGTTTCAGGTGGAAAGACGAGAGAAAATAATAACTATTTTTACTAGACATTTTTTCTTTCAAGAATACTTTTTCTTTCTCAGGAATATTTTTTCTTCAGTCAAGACTTCTGTATGCACCGCTTGAGCTGGTTTCTTTTGCAGATATCCAGAACGACATATCCTCAGCAACAGCTTAGGAGGCTTTAACTGGGCCTGGGCACTGACTAACCTTTGGGCAATGGGATCTGTGTTTAGCGCTTTCCAGACCTCAGTGAACTGTTTTAGTTAGCTGCACTATGTTGCGCTGATGAAGGGACCCTGCGTGGCACGGAAACGTTGGCTATATCACGTTTGTGATGTTTCATTCCAATAAATGAGCACAAGGATTAAATGCTAATACTGGGGTGCTGGTGATCTTCATCATCTACAAGTTTGATTTACACATCGCCATCCGTGACTATCACCGTGAGCACCACGGTTGTTTAGGTCAAACCGCTGTAAGGAGTGCAGGGGAAACATCCATATACTACTTAGCCGCAGAACTCTTTCCAGGTCCAGAGCCATGGCACAGCCGCTGGCGTGAAGTCTCTTGAAGACTCATTTATAAGTAGGGCATGTGGCCTGAGCATATTTATTAGAACCATTGGGTGCTATTATTATCCCCTTTTTTTTGCAAAGGGTTGAAATGCTTAGGAATTGAGTGCTGTATCACTAGGTGGATTGTCAAGCGCGTGCACTAGGTCTACTATAGGTTCAGGGGCAGCCTTCAGTCTCAAGGACCTGATACCAAAAGCCTGGAACACTGCCCCCTTCTTAATTTCTTACAATCCAAAGTTTTTCTTGGCTCCATCAGTGTGGCTCCTTTCTCAGGTTTAACCCAGGAATATTTTACTGCAGGTTTTTATGGGCCAAATTGCAATGTTAGTTTCTGACTCGGACCACAGAAACTAACAGTGCCTTCCCCTACAGAATCATTATCTGATTTGCCTGCAGTCTTGGTGGCCTCTAAGCCTTTGGTGGTGGGGACTGTATTTGATGAGTCTCAAAAATCCCATCTGGATAAGGTTGTTCCTGAAGAGTCGCAGGCAGCCACCATAATCCCCAGGCTTAGAGAGACAATTTCAGCTCTTATTACCATGATGCGTGCCAACTTGGGGATGGAGGTGCAGCCTGTATCTTTTATTAGTGCAGCTCTGGTCTAGGGCCCCTGAGAGACCCTAAGAGACATTCTGCACACTGACTGGAAAACCCTGATAAACTGTTTACACCTTTAAAATGTTATGCAGTCCAGTACTCATTTGATGCGGCTTTTATGAAGAAGTGAGCTGTTCTCACACTTTATCCAGCAGTGTCCCATCTTAATAAAGCTCTGACAATCCCTTTTCAAAGGATGCGCCAGTATTTAAGCATCCTATAGAAAAATGGCTGTTTTCCCTGGCAGGCCCACCATTGCAATCTGCCATGACCATGATGTTAGCCTTTCACCCCATCTTGGATCTCAAATCCCTGAATGTTCTTATTTGGTTCCAAAAGTTCAAGATGGAATCCACAAAGTCTGTCATAGCCTTCCTTCATCAGGGATACTTTCTGGCCTCTATTGACATCATGGATTTGTACTGGCATGTCCCTAGTTTTACCAGCACTACATCCATTTCTTTACTTTGCTGTGTGTAAGAAGCACCTCCAGTTAATAACCCTGCCAATCAGTCTGTCGTTTGCACCTCATTTATTTACCAAGCTTTAGACCTTGTGTTTGTCTTGTTATACTCCAAGAGCATCACCATTGTGGGATATCTGCACAACCTTGTGTTAAAGAAACAGTTAGCACAGATCCTGACCAACAATGTGTCATGGACAGTTCAAACTCAAAGGTTTGCGTGGATCCTGAAACTTCAGAAATCTACATTGATGCCGACTCACCTGGAGCATCTTAGTCTGATCCGGGACACAGCTCATGCCTCTGTGTTTACGGTCCTGCTCTCAACATTACTTTATTACAAAACTGAAGCATGCTGAGAGTGGGAGGGGTTATATCAAGCTAGTCACCGTTTTTTTGTTTGCCAGTGTCCAAATTCTCCTGTAGGTAGCAGTATTATTCAAATGTCTCTGAATCTTGTGTCATTCAAACAACATGAAGAAAAATGAATGTTATGGTGAGTTAAAATTCCTGTCTTTCTAACTCTGGAGCAGTTTGGCCAAAATGATGTCAGGTAATGGTAGAGACCAGTGGACTCAAATGATCACTTGCTACTAATATCTGTTGAGGATAAGATCTCTCCATCATATTGTTTTGCTTTGTTGATGCCAACATTTCAGAGATATAATGACATAGTTGTAGGCAAAAGGTGAGAGTTGCTCAATCTTCCTCTAGTTGTCGGTGTGGTGTGATATGAGCTGATCGGGCAATTTAGAAAACCTTTCTCAATCATTAGTAGTAGCACTGATCATTTTCTTCCAAACCTTCCCCCCCTCATTGTCAAGATGTTAACATTCAGCTCCACCAAACATTTATGTTTAGTGAGAATCAGTGAGCTAACTGATAGTCTAAGGAAATGCTGGTGTGTGGCAATCCTTTAGGTTATGAGAAGGGTGATTTAATTTTTTTTTTTTTTTTATGATAGCGTTACAGTTTATGCCCGCCCATGTCATATTTGCTGGTCAGTATGAGCATCACATAATGTAAAGTAAAACATAAAGGTACAAAAAAGTAAGGGGAATCCATATACTAAATACCGTTATTACATATATTGGCTGAATTAAATCGCTATAATACAGAAGTGGACTTTTAATTCAATGTTTATCTCATTGTCTGACAATGTTCTACTTTGTGTTCCAGAATTGGTCAATGCTTCCAAATTGAATGACTCCACTTTGGTGACTTGTCACTATCCACCAGACCTCAACGGTGTGATTGTGTGGAATGTATCGGAAGTGAATTGTTCTTCAACTGTTTTATCACCTTCTTCATCAACGGTTTTTCATCAAATTGTATTACCAGCCCTGTTTGTAGTGTTAGGTGAGTGCATTCTCGCTGCAGAGACTGATTGTGTCATTGTTGTGTCGACGGGCTTTTGTTTTCATTAGAACTGCTTCTACCCCCATACAAGTCTATAGGAATCCAAAAGCGGCTTTAAGCGGGTCAAATACAGTTAAAAAGGTGGTCAGTTGCAGGCAAATTGCAATTATGAATGGCTTCTGAATGATCTCAGAAGGTTCTTAAACTGATTTCAAGAGCATGCCTTTGTCTATAGACACTTTCCCAAAACCTGCCAACACAGGCCCTAATAGAGATTGACAGATCAATCAGTTTTACTTTTCCTAAGTTTATAGATCTAAGGGCCTTTTTGAAAGTTCGTAGGGGACAGAGCATCCATTTAAGCTTAGGCTTTTACTAAAGTATCTTTGTTTAGGGTAGTTTGATTATTACATATGTAATAATACATACATACATGTACTAGATAATATAAGGTTTTGGAACGCATGAGTGCGATCGATACGTAGCTGGATCTTCTTTTGTTTATCCACAAAATGTAAAGTGTTTCAGGACTGGCCTAGAGGTGGCCAGCAATGGTGACAGCCTCTCCTATTTGCCTTATTTAATTGTTTGTTTAAAATAATTGCATCAAATTTGTCAAAAGTGTGTTTACTACCTAAAATAACATTTTATCATGCAATAACTGAAGTTTGTGCTCTTTGTGAATTTGTAACTTTTATTCCAAAAATATATTATTTATTTTGTTGCAGCAATTTTGTTGTTCATTTTGCTGATCTTCCTTGCTTGGAAGAAAAAGCAAGATCAAAAACAAGTGCGACCAGATAAAAGGACAGTGGGAGAGGAGGAAGCCATAGAGCAAAGAACAGTTACTTCTGGTGACTTGGTGTTGGTGACAAGTGGTGTGTGTGGCAGGATGGCCTTCAAAAACTTACCAGAGCAGAAAAGGGCAACCTTGGGAAGAGCTAAATCTGCATCGGCCATCCTTCTTCACGGCAGTTTCCACCAAGAAAAGGTAAAGGAAGATGTGAAAAAAATGAACAAATTACAACTTGGTAAAAACCCAGATGTCATAGTGAAAAAAATCGGTAACGCTGATGAATTCTCCAAAGGCAGCATGGAGTTATGGTATTACAATAGACTGCAAAGTTGCAGTGTTAACTGGTCACCAGCATCAGAATCAGTGCTGCTCAGTGAAGCGCTAACTGGTGTCGTCAAACATTCTGTCAATGTACATTCATCATCTTCTGAAGTTGCTTCTACCAAAACGGCAGTAGTAGCGCTTAGACCAGCAGAGCATGAAGACCACCATCCCACATCTGTCATGGTCCAAGATGTTCAAGAACCATTGGTCTACTTATGTGTGAGAACTGCCCCTGAAAAATCTTCAGTATCCAGTCCTATGAAAAAAGACACAGGTAATCTGTTAAAGCCACGGCTCTTAAAAAGGACTTTCACGTGGCCTAATGAACTCCTTCAGTGTAAGGAGGACACCAGTGATTCCTATGTGAGCTTTTTAAAAACTCTCAATATCTCCCCCAGACCCGGTAAATCCCATATTGCAAGCTACACATCCAAGAAAACCCAGCTCCAAAAATATGATGGTAACGCCAAGACCACTTTTCTTCCAGGTACAAATGAAAATGTTTTAATAAAAAACACCAAGACTGTTACACCAGGTAGACATACAGAAAAGAGAAACAATAGAGAACCTAAGAGTCAAGGAGGACAATGGCACACCACCTCACCCAGTAAAGTCGGCCAGAGGTCAAGCCAGGGAAAACAAACTTCTGGAAACAAAGTTGTCAGTCTGGGTTCTGAAGTTCAGAGGGAGGATCTTAACAGTCAAGAGTCAGAAGTACAATCTGATTTGAGGAGGACACCAGATGATGATAAATTACTGGAGAACAATGAGTATCACTTTATTGATCTCTTACATGAAGTAGTAGAAAATCATGGACGTTGGACGCGTGATCGATGGAGGCAAACACACCAGAGAGGTTCAAGTCGAACTTCTCCGCACTCCTAAAGGGAAAGGGAATAGCTTACAATTCCTGTTTTAGTTTCTCTGTGGCATCTAAATTTCTGTTTTTTTCCCAGGCTTTCCTTTATAGTGTAGCATTGAATAAGTATTTTTACTAAATATAGTCTGCTGTTTTATCAGACTCTTCCTGTTTTCATAAACAACCAAATATTGCAATCACTCTGGATAGAGAATTTATTAAAAATATATATTAAAGACCAGCTCTTCCAAAACCTCATAGTTCAGTTTTAAATGGTTGTTGGCAAGATGAATCATATCCTGGCCTCTTAAATCTCTGAGATCCTCATTGCAAGTTATGGCTACCAAAATTCCCAAACCTGGATCAACTGCCACATATATTACTAAACCAAATAATGATGTATAATGGTTGGAGAGTCTATTTTAGCAGATCTGCATCCTCAAGGATATTGGCAAGTCAAATATTTTGATGCAGTTTTGTTTTTTCAGATGACTAACTTACACATGTTTCCCTTAAGTTTTTAGTAAAGATCTGTGTGCCCTTACAATAAATAGGCAGTTAGCATAAACTACAGCGAATGAACACATACCGTCCCTTGCTCACTTCCCGATCATCTCCCTGCAGAGAGTGGTGACTGTCAGTCACCACTCCCTGCAGGGATTCCCCCCTCCCCTCTCTGATCATCCAGCGCTGACTGGAGGAACAGATGGGAGAGAGGGGGGGCACAGCTGGCTCTGCCTCTAGATAGGCAGAGCCAGCTGTCAATTACGCAGCTGGGTGGATCTCGACAGTAATGTCGGAATCCGTCCCGGCTGCGGCGGTCTCAGTATACCGCGAGCTGTAGCTCGCGGTATACTGAGCTTTGGGTCACGGGAGGAGGTTCGTATATGTCCTTGCGTGACTCTAAAGAGAACTATGGGGATAAAAAGGTTACCTCATAGTTCTCTTTTAAGGTACTTAAATGCATTTTTAAGATTCAACTTCTGAGTTTAGGATCTTTAAATTCTTAGGCAGTGGAAACATCTGTAAGTAGGAATCATTTTTCAACTTTATTTTACTGAAGATGTTTTAAATTTTGTATGCTCCACTATATTAAACCGCTCCACCGTAACTATATTACCGCTCCACCGTAATATTCAGGGATACAAGTATCCCTAAGAATGAGATGATGCGTGGACCTATATGGGTTGGACTTGATGGACGTATGTCTTTATTCAACCCCAAATACTATGTAACTGTGTATTACATAGTAATCCGTTAAGTGAAGACTAAGACTAATGGAAGTTCTATAGCATTTTCAAGGGTTCAGCAAACAATTTCCTAAATGATCACAAATCTTTGGAAGCACAAAAATCTTCATATTCAATTTTGTCTGGTTTGCTTAAATTATATTTTTTTGAATGGGGAACAGCATTAAAAGTAAAAATAGCTTCACTTTAGCATTATTATAAGGTGCGAATCAATATTATATGCATATTGAACTTTGTATATGTCTTAGGATATGTGATCTTCAGTTCCAGATATTATTGTGGATGTTCCATTTGACTGATAAGTGTTACATGCAGTGTACATTATTATGCTCAAGATATGCATGCAATAATAACAATGTTTTACAAAAAATGTGTTATACAATTTAACATTTAATTTGAAATAAAGCCAATGTTTAAGTAACTTAATATTGTAAATTTTAAATATACCTGCTATGTAATGCTATGGGTTCTTTCCACAACTGTTAATCCTTTTGTTTAAGATACAAGTCACCTGCCATGGAATAAGTGGCCTGATGAGATTTTGCTACAGCTGTGGTAAAGTCATAAACATTTCCTAGCTCCTTTTGTCATGGAAATACATTTTAAACTCCAGGTGCAAATCACCTATCACTATTAACCACTGGGCTCAAATTATGATATCATATCGCGATATTACAAACACACACACACACACACACACACACACACACACACCTTAATTTCTAGGAAAGGGAGGGATGAAAACACTTCAAAGTTCACTAAGAGGTTTCATAAAAACAAAACATATATATTAAAGATTAAAATGGATATATGTATATGCCAAGCCTTAAATTATATGCCTTTAAGCCATTTTAAGTAAATGTTTCTCCCACAACTTTTTGCTGCTTTCTCTGTATGAATTTGATGGGTGTCGGTGGCATCGTATTTGCATATGGCTTTCTGTGTTTATGGAAACAGATTGTTGCATTTCAACCTGTCACTATGTAAATATCAGAGCTGCTATTGGTAACTTTGTTTTATAGGCACCTGCTCTGTGGCTGTTGTCTAGAGCTTGCAGCTTTAAAAGAAAAGGTCAAAGGCAGCTTCTTTAGTTCTCTCATGTTCTTCTGTTCAAAGAAGCAACCTATAATGTTTTGAAAACTAGCCCTATATGAGGTTGTATTATTCTTTAGGTGGTCATTACAATTGCTCAGGTTTCCCTCTAATTAAGCTAGTCCTTTTTTTCTGTATCATTCAACGTATAATATCCAGTTTGAAAAGGTTTTCCCAGCCGTTTTGATGGACAATTCTGTGCCTTTGTGGTTAATTATCCTTTTATATTTTTGCTCCTCTTACAGGTGGTCTGTTCTTTTCCCTGAGTATGTGGATGATCATCTGTTTCTTTAGAAGCCAATGTAAGAACAAAGTGACAAATATGGCTGACTCTAAGTGTAATTTACAAAGCTCAATGGAAAAGGAGGAAGGCCATGGGATGTCACCAGACAACCACAATCAAATATCTGAAAACCACCCAGAAGATACATCAGACAACAGGCCAGTTGGTCTTTTGCATGAACATGATTTAAAAGACAGAGATATTGAAAATCCTGGGAGCAATTTAGTACTAAGCCATCAACCTTTCCATTGTGGAAACCATAATACAGATGATAAGTTGGATAGGTCTGTGTATCCTGGACTCAGGGCTGATAAATCCAAAAGCAAAGGTATTTCCAAATGTTTAAGTGCTCCAATTTTGCTCCCGTGTGCTGACAAGTCTTCCAGAGGCACTATTCTGAAGGCCGAGGAGCCTATATGTCCAACAACCACAAAGGTCCACCGAGATATTACAGCATCTCCCACAGAGAATTCTGTTCATCAAGCCACAACCGAAGTAAGCTTCAAGCCTAAATGGCTGACCACCGCAAAAGTCCATTCAGACCTAGCAATAATTCCCGACAAAGATCCCGCTCATCTAGAAGCAACAGAACAAACTTGTGAAATGACAGGCATCATGAGTGGAAATACTGCAAGTATATTTCCTGCAGACAAATGCTACAGTCTTGAACTAAAATTGAACAAGGATGATGAGATCGACCAAAAAGCATCTGAGAAATCTCAGGAGGATTGTAAGCATGAAACAGGTAGGTTCTCAGAATGATTGACTGCTTGGTGTTACCATGTGCTTCCTGCATGTTGTTTAAAGGAAAAATTCCTTATCCACAAATAGCATAAATAAAACATTTACAGGTACCTTTTAATGTCAATTTGCAGCCACTGCCAAAAAAATAAAATGTCCCTCCTTTCTAATCTGTCAACCTATTTTCCTCTTATCGTCGTTTTCTCCACAGACTACATCATGTAGCAGAATATCTTTTTAATATGTATCTGAATATGTCTCGGTGCAAAATCTGGAGACAACACTTAGGAGGAAAATAAGTTGTAGTGTGTGTTAGTGGGGGACAGCACTGTATTTAGGGGTCTGCTAATATAGTCCTCAGAGCATAGTTGTGACAGTGTGGCAAGCTGGAAGCATTATGTACACCATTGGTGTACTGAGTGCCCCAGCAGTCCAATTTTTTTGCTTCTGTGATTAGTTCACTGATTTTCTCACAAGTTTGCTTTCCTCATAAGAACTGAGATTTGCCAAAGTCGTCACAGGAAAGGTTGCGTCATACAAAATTCAGAGAACAGAGAAATGTATGAATCTGCAGCATTGCTGGAGTTTTCTTAAGGATAGTGCAGTTACAGGTTAAAGAATAAAGTTGAATGAAAAAGTAAATCTTTCTTTTTCACGTTCATTAAGAAGCTCAGGAATTCAGAGACTATTGGGTTTTACTGCCACCCAGGATTTGGACATTAGTAAACAAAATAATTTTGGCCAGCCCAGTATAACTTTTTTTTGTGCTAATGTTCAGGAAGAAGGACATCTTTTCTCTGCTCTGTGTAGCATAGTCTAACATTATTTTTCCTTCAATTACGATTCCTCTACAAACTGCTTGAGCTGGATCTTATACACATCTCCTCGGATCTGCATTTTCTCTGTAAAGGCTATAGCTTTGGAGGCTGTACCCAGGCCCTGCTGGAGGATTGCCAGCCAACCTGGAATGTGACCTTTGGGTAGTTGTTAGTTGTTAGATGTCTCCTGTATCATTTACCCTATAAACCTCCTGTAAATAAACATGTGGAGGATTCTGTAGTGAAAGTGTTCGGCTGCAGCAACTGCACGAAAAAAGTGTCTTCCTCACATGCTTCATGAGGAACAGCATCTCTTTGGAGCTGCCCTGGACACCCTTTTTAAGGATGTTACTGGGGGCAAGAGTACCTATCTGCCACAGCAGAAGAAAATCTATTCCTTCTCTTAGGCCTCAACCTCCAAGACCAAGCCTGGACTCTGTCCACCCCCCACCTTGGACTTCCAAATTCCTCAAACCATCAGATGAACCTTCAGCATAAGGAGGTGCTCCCACTTTCCAAAGTGAGGGTACATCTGTTAGCCTTCGTGGACATTAAATCAGCCAACACCCCAGATGCTTGGATACGGTAGGTGGTTACGAGGAATTACAAGCTAGAATTCTGTTTTCAGCCCCTGCCTTGGTTCATGTCTTCCAAAAAATACCTGTCACTGCACATATTAGCATACCTCTGTGCAGTCTTTGCAGGTTTTCAGGAGCAGGGGTTCATTGTACCAGTACCTGTGGTGGAAGGATTCCAGAAATCTCACAGTTCTCCCTCCATTGCCTGGATGTAGTTTGTGCTGGGTGTGTCTACCTCACAACTGCTTCTTCCATCAGAAAGACTGACTCTCTGTCATCCTTAAATGTCCCCATAAAGGGAAAACTGCTGCTCATTCCACCATTTCTCTGTGGCTCAGACAAACCATTAAGGCTAATGGTCTCAAGGACTGGGTTCCACTCTTTCGTGTTAGGGTGCACTCTACTAGACCTGTGAGTGCTGCTTGAGTGTTTTGGTATCAAGATTTTTAAAGCTGCCATCTGGTCTTCTGTTCATGCGTTCTCTAAGTTTTACCAGATGGATGATCAGGCCCCTACTGATAGCAATTGTGGGCATAAGGTCCTGCAGGCAGTCCCCAGTTTTGTTTTATGGGTAGGTTAGTGTGTTGTTGCTTTTGCCTACCCCAAAGTTGGACTGCGTTTGGACATTCCAACAGTCTCCGAATTCCTGTGTCCCTCAATGAATACTAAAGAAAATTGGATTTTTATACTTACCATATAAATCCATTTCTTGTAGTTCACTGATGGACAAAGGCCCTCCTCTCTGTGTTCAAGTTCACGCTCTTGGTGCTACTTTTCAGCAAAGCTAAAGCGCTCTGGCAGGAGGAAGGGTTATACTGTGCTGGCCCCAACTATTTTGACTGCCAGTGTCCAAATCCTCCTGTAGATGGTAGTATAACCCAACAGTCTCTGAATTCCTGTGTCCCTCAATGAACCACAAGAAATGGATTTTAAGATCAGTACTAAAATCCTATTTTTTAACAAGCTTTGAAAACCTATCATATTATTTTTGTTCTGTTTTAGGTCTAGTCAGATACTTTGAAACACACATTGAACTGATAGGAACAATGGTAAATGAAACCCATATTGTAGAAGGTGCAGTGAAAGAAGATACCTCATCACAAGAAAAAGATGGCCCACTTAGCAAATTAGAAATTTCGAAGGCATTTGGCAAGAAATCAAAAACATGGACCTCATTTTATGATTCAGAAGACTATTCAATATGTTTTCAACCAAAAACTGAACTACAATCCAAAAGACCTATTGATGTGCATAAAGGGCGTAAGATAGACAAAACAGAAGACATAAGTGGAGGCTGTTTTAGGAAAGACATGCAAGGAGAATGTTCAAACCTCACCGATGATGTCTGCAGCATTTCATCAGTTGGCCAAAGCCAATGGATGCATACTGACTACCTTGCTGACTGTCCAGACTTTGCTGATGAACAACCTGGGCCTTCAAATGTCAGCCAAAGGCAAAAGGCCAGAAATGAGCAACATCAGGCAATGCTATATGCCCAGTCGGTGAGAGAGAGGTTGTGGAAATACCATAAAAATTGCTGTGATGAATATCAACCATGTCAAACAGCATCTAAAGTTTTGAAACGAATTAAAGCATTAGAAAAGACGCAGCTAATGCAGAAAACCAAGCAGTGCCCTCCTTCTGATGAAGACCTTCTTGAAGGTAATGGACAAATTGCTTTCAATCTCTTTGTCAGACTTTCACAGAGGAAGTCTTGCAGGAAAGCTCAGATGCCTCCATGGAAATAGCCCAATTAAATGGTAAAAGTTATTTTTTGATACATTTTTGTGCATGGATTATAAATAGCAGATACTGTAGAAAATAGTTACCAGTACAGCTTTGCCAAGACAATAACCTAAGGACCAACATGTTAACTGCATCACAACCCTGCATTCAAATGTTTTTTTGTCAGTTGCCCACTTGTTCCCAGTGTTGAATAAGGACAAAGGTCCATCCAGTTCAACCTATGCTATATGTGTGTACATGTTCTAACAACTCCCATATCCCTGTATATTCTGTAAACTGAAAAACTCATCTAAATGTTTTTTTTTTAAGTTATCACTGCTTTCAGCTCATGCAACTAACTGCAGAAGGCAATTTAACATTTGTATTGCTCTGGCAGTAAAAAGAAAATCCTTACGCATTCTGAGATTAATCTGCATCTATTCCAAATTTTTGTTGTGGCTTATTGTTTATTTCTTTAATAATGTCATTATTTTGCCCAATTACTTTGTTTATAACCATTCTTACCCAAAATTTGCAGGGTTATTCACAAAAGGGTGAAGAGTTTGGGGAAGACAGGAGACCCGAACAATCTAGGACAACATAGATGAACTTGAAAAATTCTCCAATTCAGCTCACTTTCCAGTTCAGCTTTATTGACCTATATTGTTCACTTCTCCTGCCTTCTCCAAACTCTTCACCCTTTTGTGAATAACTCTGATATCATATAAGCAAAGGACAAGGGTACAGTAACAGTCAGATGTCAGCTTGTTTTCTGATTGGTCTAAACTGATAAAGGGTCACTACACTGCAGCTTGTACTGCCTTTATTATTTACTTCTGCAGCCACTTTCCAATTGGTTAGCTATCTCACAGCAATTCTAAATATTTAGTTGAATTTCTCACTCAAGTCAGTGTAAACCTCTCCTGTGTTAGTCTTCAGAACAATGAATATGTCCCTGTACAGCTGCCATGGGTACTATCCCTATTCTGTACTTGGGGAGCCTAAACCTCTGACTAAGTTGAGATTGAGGGATCATGGCCCTAAAATGCATCAGTAGTAGTGTGTATTTGCAGAAGAACGCACCAGACAAACTAGTTGTCTTAGTGTGACTTGTTGCTCAGGCTGTATGCTTATTTTTAGATTGGATTCATAGTGTGATGCTCTTCTAGAGCCACATGAGAGGCTTCCCTTGTAATATATTTGGCTAAATTTAGCCTGACCGAGGGTCTAATGATGGTGTGAGCCTGTGCGCTTAGAATGTTTGTGAGTACAATATGAGCATGTTTATACTTTTAAGCAATAAATAGTATTTTCTGTGCTATTCATTGTGCCTCAATGTTTACAGTTTTTAAGTACCGCTGGATATCTCCACTGGCTGCAAGTAATAGTACAAGGACCTTCTGCAGTGTTTTTTGGACTGTAAAGGTGGCCATACACTTTACAACCATCGCAAGACCTTAGTCTTGCGATGGTTGTAAAGTAATTAAAAAAATGTACGATCTGCCCATCTTGGACAGGCAGATCGTACTTGCGATCATCGCAAGCCCGCCCCCCTGAGGGGCGGGCTCTACCGATGACCGCAATGCTGAATGGGCAGTGTGCGCGTACGCACACCGGCCTGTTCGGCATTTGTTTCCCGAGCACCGTTCAAACCAGCCGAAAATCGTAAGATTTTCGGCTGGTTTTCTAGCGTGCTCCTTAGACAAAAAACGTGCGACCGTACAGTAGAAACGGTCGCACGTCTTCATTCACACTGCACGATTCTTGTACGATCGCTGGATTTCCTGCGATTCTCGTACGAGAATCGTGCAGTGTATGGGCACCTTTAGTGACTGTTCAATGGCTGTGGGTTTAGTGGTGAGGAAATTCCATTTGTGTGACCTAAAGTTGAGATTAAGCCCCACCTCTACTTGTGCTATGCAAATTCCTCTGTTATTTAGTGGTAAGAAGCTTTGCATTTCTTGCATTTGAGATTTGAATAAAAAAGGGTAGGGCATAGCACCATCAGGACTTAAGTTTTAACTTGGTCAGAGGTTGAGGTCCAATGTCAAGCCTTGACTTGGCATGCTAGGGGGGCTCCACAGTGATACAGGAATCAATTTGAAGAGACCACAAGGTGTTTGCATGACTGTTGTTACCTCAGAGACATTTAAGACCAGGCTAAATTCACTTTAAACTAATTTATTTTGGAACCTCTGTGGTACAATACCAGAAAAAAAAACTATAAATCTGTGACTAGATTAAAAAAATTTAATTGTAAAGTTAAATACAATTTGAATGGTTTATTTTCCTTTTTTTCTATTGCCAATGCTGACATTTTTAATGTACACACTAAATTTGTAGGATGTATTAATTTTAAAAGTTTACTATTTTTTTGTTTTCCAGAAAACCCATCACTACCTCCGTTACCCATCTCATTGTCTAAGGATCGTACATTGGCAAATCAAGCGATTTTTTCCAATATGACTTGTTCCAGTTTACCTAATCTGAGTCATTATGGCAACCACCAGGTTTGTGCTTCTCATGATGATCCATCTTTAATAAGCCCCATACCAGCATCTGGTAATGTAGAGAACAATTCTGCCATAGTGACTATATCCTTTGCAGGAATAGACCAACCAGGTATCAATGTTGCACATAGTGAGCACTTGAGAAATGTGTTTCCCTGTGATATAAATGTACCTGTTCTTCAGGATCCAACAAAGAACTTTGTAAGAAGTGAAACGGAGATGAACGCTGTATCATCTAGAACTCTAGCTTTGCCCATTATTGATTCCCTAGCGGTGGATGTTGTAGATGGAAATACAAGTTTAGATGATAGCTCAGTTAGTCATTTAGCTCTACCAATGATCAATGCCCAAACAGACGCCATAGGATCTGAAAATGTAAATCACTTATCAGCCCGGCCAGTAGAATTACCTGCTATTTGTGAGACATTGTTGGGTGTTACAGTTCAAAAGACTAATTTCAAAAATATGACTACAAGCAATTTATGTTTACCAGTGGTTGTCAAAATAGAACTACCAGCTATAAAAATACTAGAAGAGAAAGATAATGTCGGAGGCAGCCAATCTTTTGAACCAGAAATATCAAGCATTAACAAAGTCATCGCCATAGCAGATCCAGGAATTGCTGGAAAACCCTCTTTTGAAAACCAAAGCGTACAATTAAACTTAGAAATCAAAACTCAAACATCTCCAATTCTAAGTGAGCCAAATGTAGATGGTGTGTGTGCTAATGACGAAAGCAATATGGCAGTCATCACTTTACCAACCTTAAATCCTTTCACTGAAATAATTCCCAATCATGGAGAGGTAACAGCTGGAGAAAATGAATTTACACAAACCCCAGAGCCTCCCAAGCACACTGAGTTTTCACATGTGAGTCTTGATGCACAGACCCATCTTACTTCTTCGATTTCTTATTCAAACTCTATTCAAGATGGTGAAGACGTTTCTGATTGGCCAAAAATTGCAGATTTGGTAAAACATTCAAGTACCATTAGCCTGTCCTCAAATTTTGATATCCTTAATCACACCTTAGTTCCTCATTTTATTCCTGAGCATGAGAATGAGTATGATACTTCTAACAAGTCAAACACAGACCTTAGTGATGACAAATGTGAGGGAGCAGAAACAATGTACAACCAGCCTTGTCATATAGATGATCATACAAATCTGGCAGTAGAGGGACTGTCATTTAATTGTGCTGTCCTCCAACAATATGATATGGAAATTGAAGGCAGGAAGAGTTTAAATGATATGGAAAACAAAACCTTTTATATTCAAGATGGAACAGTAGAAGGACTGTCATTTAATTGTGCTGTCCCCCAACAATATGATATGGAAACTGACAGCAGGAAAAGTTTAAATGATATGGAAAACAAAACTTTTTATATTCAAGATGGTACAAGCCAGCTTTATGGAACTCTCAGTGAAGAGCAAGAAAGAATAAGAATACTTGATACACAAGACATAATTGAAGACCAGCCAGATATGAGTTTTTATTATTCAAAATATGCTGAAAAGGCACAGAATCAAATGGAGAATCTAGAAAAAGTCAAAGGCATAAGTGATGACCTAGATTCATTCATTATTCGTGGCATTATGGACCATACAAGCTATAAAGATAGCATATTAACTTCTAATTTAGATATGGTGGTTAATATTAGACATAAAAGAAGTGAAGACCCCTGTAGAGACGAAACTGAAGATGCAGTATATGCAAATGACATAACAGTGAATCACAAAGGCCATCACCTAACTACACCTGTCAATAATAGACATTCGGGCGAGTACGAGGGACAGCAAGACCTTAAAAAGGATTTACCTTACCATCCAGATGCAAAAATCCAAACAAGTGAAGCTGAATATCCTCAATGCCAGACTAAGGTGATTGACATTGGAAATGATAGAAATTTAGGCACAGCGTTCATTACAGATGAGGCAATGGATTTGAAAGGATATGAGAAGTCGAATGTAAAAGTTAATAGCAGTGTTAATAGTATAGTGGATATATATCATGTTGGTGAAAATTTTGAAGGTATTTCAAACATATTTCAGGATATGTTACGTTCAGATTCAACAGCTGTAAGTGAAAACATAAGTACTCTTGCTGGAAGCAAAAGGAGCGACAACGTGAATGCTGAAACATCATCTGATAATTTAAAAACACATTTTGAGAGTGATGATTCCAGTGGAAGTAACTACAAACAGAAAGAAAGTGATTGTAATTTTGATGGGTCAGTAAACACACTGAGAAAAGCATCAGGAGATGTAGAAAACTGTACAACTGTCTGCAATTCAGATACAACCTTCAATAATGGACAAGCACATCAAGTCGGAGTAATGGATACATCACTGTGCAATGCTGAAATACCAGTGCAAATGAGTCAGCAGTTATTAGGTGTTCAAAAGGTTCCAGAAACTTCCAGTAAACAAACGTGGAGTTACCAAAAGTCCCAAATAAATAGACAATTAAAGACCACTAGCAATGTCCCTCCAGCACTTGTCAAGAATAAACTTAAAGATTATTTATCAAGCAGAATTTACAGAAGACCATTTTATTCTGTCTTTCCATGTTCAACAAAGACACCAAGTACTGAAGAAAGTGAAAAGAGCTCAACCTTCAGGGGGAAACCTTCAGTCAGTGACTCGGACACAACCAGGCCTTCCCTTGTGTTGTCTGATAGGTATACTGAAAATACAAGAATGGAAGCTGTTGAATATCTGACCTACTTATATGCTAGAAGTCCAAAGCCAAACGTGTGTTCAGGTTCCTTAGAAGGTTTAAAAGTTGTCAGTGACATGGATGATATAAGTGTCCTGGCAAATCTAAACTTCTGTAAAGTTGCTTTGCCAGGTAAAATGACAAAGCAAGACATGTCTACAGATGTACAGGAAGTGCACGTAGACTCTAATCTAGAACCAGCGGACCCAGAGCATGTATATGTACCCCCTAATAAAAAAGAATTAAAGGCAGATGATGAGTTGTCGGTTCTGCATGTTATCTATACTTTAAAGAAGAGTCTAGAGTTGTTTCCGAATATTGAAACGGAGACAGACTAAGAAGAAAAGAAAGAAATAAGCACGCTTTATCATTAAAGTGGAAATATGGGTCAAATGAAACATTTGTTTCATGATGCATTCTCTCACTGGCATTAGCTCAGCAGTTTTTTGTTTTTCTGTAACATAGTTTTATTACGTGTTGATCCTGCCAGTAGATCTGTCATGTTTCCACTTAAAACGCTGTTTCTGGAGTGAAATCATGCAGAAGTGTTGTCACCCTATGGGTATGAATTTTTGAATGCAATATAAGTAGTCAGCAAATACATTTTAAGCCAAACTTCAGCTAACACTGATACATTTTTTTCCCTTTTGGAATAATTGGATTTTTTACTTACCTGTAAAATCCTTTTCTTGGAGTACAGAACAGGATACAGGCTCTTTAAGTCTTACAGGGTTATTCACACAAGGGTGAAGAGTTTGGAGAAGGCAGGAGAAGTGAACAATCTAGGACAGTGGTGGCGAACCTTGGCACTCCAGCTGTGCCAAAACTACAAATCCCATCATGCATCTGCCTCTGGGAGTTATGTCTGTGGCTGTCAGAGCCTTGCAATGCCTCATGGGACTTGTAGTTCCAAAACAGCTGGATTGCCAAGGTTCGCCACCACTGATCTAGGACAACATAGCTGAACTGGAAAGTGAGCCGGATAGGAGAATTTTTCCAAATCATCTATGTTGTCCTAGATCACTTCTCCTGCCTTCTCCAAACTCTTCACCCTTTTGTGACTAACCCTGTTAGAGTCTAGGTTATATGCTACCTTTAGGTGACTGGATACAGGCAAAGGACTTGGTGCTGGAGGCATTAGAGGGGTGAAAGGAACTCTTGTCAGTATCTGAAATGTCAGGGAAGAAGAGTGCTCTTATCCTCTGTGATTTCCTTGATGTTAATATCCAGGGGAGTACCCAAGAGGTGTCCCCCTTCAAAGGGGCTCATGCCAAGTGCTTTTTTCTGGGAAGCTCTTTGAACCAGCATTTAGGCCAGAGAATCATTCACATAAGAACCAAAAGGAGGCCCATTCTAGAATTCTAAAGAACAGAGGATGGATCAGAATAGATCCAGGATCCCTGCTCATAGTGTAGTCCAGACCACAAGGGTCTAACAGACTGCCATATACGTAACCTCTGGTAAGACCTCCTAGGAAAAATAAGGCTTGAAAGAGGGCTTTCAACTTCTTGTCTACCAGATCCTCCACAAGGACTGTTAAGGTCTTGTTCAGACATGAAATAGCTGCGTCCACTACAGTACAGGGACATACCATTTTTTGGAAGTCCTCTTCTATTGGATATTGCTAAACAAACCTGTTAATATTTTAAACAGATTTTCATGGTGAGACCAGTTATCATACAACCTCAAAAGTGAATGAATAGGAAAGGTCTTAGCAGGTCTGGGCAATTTCACAGAACCCAAGCTGGAGACCTTGGGATGGCCAGAGACAGGTTGCTTTAATGCCAGTGATGAGTGCACTGCATCAGTAAGCGTAGCAGTGGTATCCTTAAGCTTTGTAGAGAACTCCATAGAGGACATATCCACTTGATCACATAATTCATTATCTGAGGTAACATCACCCGCTTTCCTGCAATAATAGAGCGGTAGTGAGGGACTGGGAGAAGCACACTGCGCACCATGGAAACAGAAAGAGGGAGAAATAGACTCCCACTTACTGCAGCCACTCAGCTTGACAAACAGAGTAGGGCACCGGGCCAAGCCCCTATCCTGGCTTTACCATTCAAGGCGGGCATATCACCTTGTACCAAATGGGGCCTTCCGAGACAGGGCTCCCCCAGACCAGTGGCCTACAAACCTGGACCTATAAAGCACCCTGAAGCTAATCCAACCATCACGCACCATGTGCTGAGGTAAGCGCCCACACAGGATCCAGTGCCCGAAGCGACAATACTGTGCCGAGGAGCACACTGATCTGGAAAGCTGCTACAAAAATAAGCTGCAATGGCTCTAAAGCAGCTAGGAAACCATAAACTTGCTAAAAGTGCATATAAGGAATGAAGGTAAGAGCATGTTCATCACCTAAGGACTCTAGCAAAAAAAAAAAAAATGAGGCTTGCTGGGAGAGGGAGAGGTTAGATGGGGGATGTCCCTACAGTCTTTCCCTTTGCCAGTGTTCAGTCACCTGAAGGTAGAACATAACCCAGATTCTAAGACTTAAAGAGCCTGTGTTCTTTACTATACAAATAAGATAAAGGTTCAAACCATATGATTAAAAACGGATCATTGTAAGCATCCCTAGTAACGGTATACGGTTTGTCCCAACCCTTATATAGTTGTATATGTACAACTATATTTGTCCATATCTTTGAGCCTGTAAAATTGTAGCCAGTGTGGTCCCTGCACTCTGCTCTTATTTAGTCTGCTGCCATAGCACTAGCCAGGTACACGGGAACATAAGAATAAGGTTGCCTAGTATAGAATCATGGATCATCTGGATGCAATTGATTTGATATAACTGTTAAATGTAAACCAAGTGAGCTATCATACTTCAGAACAGTTGCAGTGTTTGCTGGATATAATTAGGGACTCACGGTTTGATGTTACTTGTTGCTTAGAACTATTTATTAATCTGTCAGTAACAACGATGATCAGTTTCTACTTCTGAATTCCCAGTTGTGAGATGGACACTCGCCTATGTGTACTCAATATTTCTAACCAAACTGGTATATTCTTGTATAAACGATGCCACAGAAAAGGTAGCTATCAATCACAAATCCCAGCAAGCTCCACAGTCTGTTCAGGATATGCAGATACTGTAGTATCACAATAGCTGGCATGCTAATAATCTTTTTTTTTGGATGAATTTATGAATAAATGTTATCTTTTAATATAACATATAAAGCCTAGCTCCAGCACAAATGTTTTATTTACTTTTAGATAGAGCAGGGAAGATGCTTAGTCTGTGCCCCTATAGGAAAGATATGTCCTCACTGTCAGGACAGGAAATATCTCCAATGGGGACATGCACAAAAAAGAAAAACACATTTGCAGTAGACTATAGCTGGCCACACAGCTATAAATTATCTGCAGATTTTCTATGGTCAGATGGAAAAAGTGCAACAGATTTCCCCATCTACGCTAAACTGTGTGGATGGAAGAATCTCCCACTGGGACAAGCTTCAGTATCTTGCTAGTCGGCCCTGCTGGCTCTCAAAATACCTGAACAATGCCTGCATCCAATCAGATTGTTCAGGTATTTTGGGAGCAGGCGGGGCCGACTAGCAAGATACTGAAGCTTGGCCCAGTGGGAGATTCCTCCATCCACACAGTTTAGCGTAGCTGGAGGAATCTGTTGCACTTTTTCCATCTGACCATAGGCTGATAGAAAAAAATCTATAGAATATATATATATATATATAAGGTGTATGGCCAGCTTAAGTAAGGGTTAGATTTTTTAACAATTTTTATTGCTACCTGTAACTTCCTATCCTGGTGACAACCACACCCTCCTCTGTCCCCTCCAATCATTTCGTGGACAGTTATTACACAGACAGGAAATAAGGGAAAATCTGCCCAATGGGGTCAGGGAAAACCAAATCTGACGGGTTACTTCTTCCCCACTCTATCCAAAATCTAAAAATAGCTGGACTTAGAGCTTCTGGATTTTGTTATGCTCTCTGCTTCATGTGCTGTTTCTATATCACTGATTTACAGAGAGATGCTCTATAAATCACAGTTGCTACAACACACTTAGAGATCTTTATGTGCATGCATTTGGTTGTGGGAATTTTCTGTCTTAACTATTATAAATTATTATTATAAACCTTTTTTCTGTTACCCACCAAGTGTCTGGACCTTTCTTATTTGCTTTGCAACTTCAAATGAACTTTTAGTTTCCTGACTGGATATAACAGTTGTTGTGATATTAGTTGTGATAAGCTAAACTCAGGCTAGATATATACTATATCTAGCTCAAGTATATATATATATATATATATCTGTTGTAATTCTGTATTCATTAAAAATAATTACATATATTTTAAACAACTGGTGTACATACATGAATATGATTCAAGCTCAGTCTCCTGTGATCATCTGTACAGTAGAACATAGAATGAGAAAGAAGAGCAGTGCTGGGGGCCAATCAGATTCTGCTGTAGTGCACATGTGCTGACATGGAACATACTAATAGAATGAGATAGCAGAGAGAAGAGCTCATCAGTTGCTGCACCTCTTTTGTCCAGTCAGAGCTCTGGTGGCAGGGAAGAGATCAGGCTGTTTTGCTTAAAATATATGTCAAGGCAAAAAAAACCCCATATACAATACATCCTTGAAATACATGCACATTTCCTATGCTTTATCCCTTTAAAGACTCTGCCAGTACAGATAAATACATGTTGATCAGCTAGAAATGCACTGAGCTCCTAAGCTATGTTGCAGGCTGACAACACACAGTTTTCTTCTTTTTCTTTTTAATGAATGGTGTCAGCCCTGTTTATTGTGTTTTGCTAAAATACTTAACCACGCCTACTCTCAGTCTCAGAACACCCCATCATAAAGGCTAATTATCCTCTAATCTATGATAGGAAATAAGAGGG